TTTTTCCAAGATGGCCTTGCAGCAAAGCTCTTGTGGAAATCATGTGGATTTTCTGGGCGCTCTTGCAGCGTGACTATTACATCTGCGCCGCTCTCGGAGGAACAAAAGCAGCTAAATTAATCAGTGCTCAGCCGCGCAAAAGTTACAAATCGAAGCAGATTACGCGAACGCGGGAAAAAATTCACAGACGGCAGCGTTGCTCTTGCTAGCTGGAGCGTTACTTACAGCTTTCGTTGTTGTTTCAGTTCAGCGATGCTGTTATCAGCGTGAGTTCGGCACTTTACCGAGTCCATACCAGTATAAGAAGCTCGAGTCAGAAGCTGCTGTGGAGGCCTTTAAACTGAGCATGGAAAAACTCGCGAAAGGACAAGGCAAGAGGCGTGCAGATATGTACTTTGCGACCATAAACAAGAAAAACCCGTCTGACATCCTTAAGAGTGCTTATGAAAATCTCGTCGCTGTGAACAAATTTGACGAAGCGTTTCCATCTGTGAAAGATTATCAGGAGCTCCAAGCACAGGCGGTTATGGGCATCTCCAGGGATGATAGAGTCTCCAAGATAGAATTGCTGCGCAGAGCCAACATGCCATGCATTAAGGCACTCATCATGAAACCAAAGCTGCGGGGGTTGGACATGTGGTTCGAACGGACGACGCGCGCCTTCCGAAGATGGCCTTCTTCTCTGACCTGGCTAACGGTGCACGTAACTTTAGACACCCACTGAAGAGGTTCAAACATGGCCTGAACCAAAAAACTGAATTGAATCCCATTCTTGGATGAGAAACCCTCACCGCAAACCCCAGCGCCCGGAGAATGGCCGTCCACAAGGGTGTTCAAGGCTTTTTAAAAAGCGGCTGTACAACCTCGGCCAGGCCTTTCGGAAGGCCGGGTTCTAGTTGCGCGAAGGCTGCGTCTTAGCGATTGAATCGATCCAAACGGTTTCTTCGAGTTGTTTAGGGTAGGCCATTATAACCGATTCTTTTTGTAAATTTACTAAGGATGGAGAGTGGAAAGTAACGGACAAAGAATTACTCAGCAGCCAAGCGTCAACAGGAAAAGGTCAAGCGAAGCCTTTCCCCGCCATGCCGCCTGTAATCGGAAAAACAGACGAGGATCTCAGCAGTGACGAAAAATACGAGGAGGAGAGCTTTCGAACCAAACAACTCTTTTTATTTGCTTGGCAAATAGCTAAAGGAATGGTAATTACTATATGATTATTTTCTGAGCGACGTTGCTTCGATTCAGTTTCTGTTTTCATCATTCAAAGATCGGTTTCAGACTATTTCACAAGCAAGAAATAAAGGACAAATGGGTTAATTTTCCAGATGAAGAATGATTTGATTTTTTTCATTAGAATGTCAAATTAGTTTTAGTGGAGAAATTGTCTTAGTCGATCGAACCAAATTTGGCATGTTTCGTATAATCTTGAATCAGTCGTTCAGATCAGTTCAGTTCAGTATTTTTCTTTTAATTGTTTGCCCCTAATTTTCTCTCCTTCACCCATGCCTTTTTAGGCAGTAAGAGCCCTGTAACTGAAGTATTTTGGTACTTATTTTCATTTTTTTTCCTTCCTTCTTAATTAGAATCATCTCGCCGAAACTATCTTGTTCACAGAGACCTTGCTGCCCGTAATGTTCTTGTTGGCCATTACAACCAAATCAAAGTGCCAGACTTTAGGTTGATGAGACAAATCTATGAAGATGTGAGCAGCTCAGCGAAGTCCAAAAAACTTCCTGTGAAATGGATGGCCCAAGAATCACTCTATCAAGGCCTTTACACTACCAAAAGTGATGTGTACGTACAAAAGATTCCCACTCTTTTAAACACATTTCGATACACTGCTGCTCAGAAAACCTCAGCTACCCTGAAAATCGTAATCAGTGAGTTTAATTCAAACCGATCTAGAATTCCAGTGGTTAATATAGTGGGTAATTTCGTACTTGTCAGCGCAATTTTGACTCAGGACTATATATAGTTTTCATAGTCAATAGCGAGAGCGGCGTCTGTTGAATTCTTAAATCAGAGTGTATGCAAAGATCACTTAGAAGCTTTCCTTTGCCGGGAAAAGTTTACGAATATGCGACAGACCCGTCACGTAAATTGGTATTGCTTTCCCCACTCTATTAACCTTGCTAGGCCATTTGCTAAGGGCTTTTAGCATCTGAGGCCTGGTGTCATAGGGTTCAGTCAAGCGCGAAGGCACGGAAAGGTGGAGACACGCCCTTTTTCCCTTGAGTTCGTCAAGTAAAAAGAAGAGGAGGAAAATTTATAGCATTTATGCAGTGAGCATATTCATGACCTTTGTGCTTTTCTCTACAGTTGGTCTTTTGGTGTTGCTCTTTGGGAGATAGCTGCATTGGATGAGTAGACCGTCACACACTGATCATGTTACCTTCTAAGGGGAGTGAGATCCCAAGAACTGTCCTCCCTAGTGCCACGGGGGATATGACTTGAATAGTGCGACTAGCCTGATATTAAAGGACGACACTGGGACTTTTAAAAGAGTGAGTCCTCATTAAATAAGGTTATTGCCATCAGGAAACAGGCTGATACCTGATCAGTTGTATTTGTGGCAAGCCATGCCAGTAGGCTTTTTTGTTTTGAACTAGGCTTTATGTCTGAAATCATAAATAAGTGATAATCGGCATCAACTGTGTACACATTATAGAGAGCATTATTACTAAGCACCATGCTTGCTTGCTTGCTTTCTTGCTTTCTTGCTTTCTTTCTTTCTTTCTTTCTTTCTTTCTTTCTTTCTTTCTTTCTTTCTTTCTTTCTTTCTTTCTTTCTTTCTTTCTTTCTTTCTTTCTTTCTTACATTTAAATGCAACTCTGACCCCTATTCAATCACTATTCTTTTGCAAAACTGCATTATTGAGTGCGGGGGGATGAAGAGTCGTGGACGTTGACATTTCCAGTAGAAATCTATCCAAGGGAATGAGCCGTATTTTCAAATAATAACGTGTAGTTTTTCTTTCTCATAACGTGATCAAGAGGCGTACCATACCCCACGCTGACTAACTCAGAGTTGTATCGACTGCTTGGCACTGGTTATCGCATGGAAAGGCCTGACATGTGCTCGCATGATGTGTACGTTTCTTGATCAGAATGGTCTTAAAGTTTACAAATAGATTCGAATTTCCGTGCGTCTTTTTAGTTATAAATTATAGCAGTGAACGTTGAAGAAGACAAGTCGGTTGGCGATTTTGACGTTTTCTTCGATCAAATTGATTACTGAACAGACGGACGGCAAAATCTTAGCTAAAATATTGTTTTCATACAGTAGTATGATAGTGTTAAGACTTCAACAGAGATCGACAGCAAGGATTTTTTCTCCATGTTCGATATTTCCTTATGGTAAATGATTAAAACTAGGTATTCTTTCTCTTACCTGGTAACAGCTTTGTCAGCAAAATGTGGCGATGTTGGCTAATTCTTTCAACTTGGAAAACTTTAAACAACATTTCCAGCAGACCATTCCAAAACCATCCGCCACAAGAGGGTCCCGTCGCTGTCGTGTTTTCTCTCGCGTGCCGCTCGCGCGTGTATTTTTCACGAGATCGCCCCAAGTGGAGAGCTCGCTCGCAGGCTAGGCAAGAAACCGACAAGTCTAATGATCCGGCGTGAGTGGCTCCCAGCTGGTCTAAAGGAAAAACTATTCTACTAAATTGGGGTGTCTTACGTCAAATAGAAACGGTTTCAATGTATGTAATAATGGAATGGAACTCTGACTAACTCAAAATGTTGTTGTTGTTGTTTTTTCTATTCATAACAGATATGAGCTGATGACTGACTGTTGGAAGGAGGAACCTCGCTCTCGTCCCAGTTTCTTTCAGCTGATCGAAAAACTGGAGGTGATGATGCAGAGGGATGCACCATACTTGGATTTAAACAAACATAATGAAGATCATCCGTATTACAACGTGCCACCTGAAGCTAGTGGTGATTAATATGAAGAAGGAGCTTCCCCAATAATCAGACAATTTCAGACCAAACGATTATAATGTAGTTTACTTTTCCTGCGTACGTAAATGCTTTGGTTATTTTGTCGATCATAACAAACAAAGGACAAAAAAAAAACGATCAAGTTGCTAAATGAGCCTTAAGTTCAATCAATTATTTCAGGTTTTACACTTTGTTTAGAGTTTAAATTAACTGAGTGAATTACATAATGACTAAGATAGATTTCTACTTATTAACAGAAATTTACCGAAGACCGACAAAGATAGAAAACTAAGTTTTAACAGACAACCGACCATTATAGCCCCCATCCCACCTCCCATTCGGACCTTATTTGTTGAGGAAGGTAAAAGGTGACGGTATGAATCGTGAACTAATTCTCAAAATTAACAAATACGCATTATCTTTAGGTCATTGTATACAGCGTGATGTCGATATTTCTTCAGTTTCCATTATTTCTTTAATTTACTCAGCAATAGCCAAGTAAGTATGACCCTTGTATGTAAATGAAGTCATAACAGCCCCTCAAAAAGTTGAAAACTTCTCTGGTATTCAATGAACTGGTCCTGAGAAGCACGATAAACCACTAACTCTATGTGGTAGGTGCCACCCTTATACTGATTAGCCGCACCAAGAAATGTTTGACCGCACGTGACAAAGGAATGCAGGGTCTTGGCCCCATGGGTAGGAATAGTGTCTTAAATAGAATAAACTGACTTCAATTCTGACTTTAATGAACGACTCTGGGGGTTGAGAGGCAGTGGTGAGAAACTCGTCATCATTAATCTAAAATGACTTTTCATCCATTGCTCTATGCTTTCAAAGGTTGTGCAGTTCAACTAAGTGCATCTCAGCCCTCTTATAAACTACTGACCGATGATGCCGACGTGACTTCTTTTGCGCATTTGTTGAACATACAAATACACAACTACGCTTAATGGTCACTCAATAGAGGTCATGGAGGTAGGTCATAAACCGTGCGCGGGTCACTGATAAATTAGTATTATCTTTAGCAGAAACATAAAACACGCGACGGGGGGCAGCATTCTTGTCCACAATAGGTAAACACCTTCTATCTCGGACTGTTTTACTTCATCATATTCTTTAAAAAAAAAAAAAAAAATTACATGAAGCCCAACTTAGTCTGTCAAGTGCTTGATGGCCGCTTAATAGAGGTGACAACAACGTGATAACTCTCGGACGGCAAAAAGCTGGCCGCGGTCGCTTAATAGAGGTGACCGCTTAACAGAGGTTTAATTTCCCATTCTTTTCTACAGTTATTTCGGGACTTTGATTATTGGCCGCTTAATGGAGGTTCAACTGTATATGAATAAATCAGAAAGCCAGCCATAAACAATATACAGCCATAAAATGTACCTGTTAGACCAGTTGGGGGTATTTTATCGACCCTTTCATATACTTCAACTAGCGAAATCACCACCCTTTCACATACCTGAAGCCTGAAAAAGGTACCCCTTTTGGGCGGAGCCTCCCCGCATAGGTCTTATAGCGAGTAACCCCCCCTCCCCACCCCCAGGGCTGATCTAAGCACCTGCCTGCGCCTTTTACAATAGTGGCCGTTTAAGGAATCTGATTTACATCTTGGTCTTTATTCTTCTTTGACTTCTGCTAACAATCTTAATCTTAATCTTCTTACTCTTTTTCTCTACTCAATCCTTACTCTCTTAACTGGTACAAGTATAGGTAAACTCGTGACTGTGAGAATAAAATAATTAGGTGAACTCGGCCTGTGTTAATTGTACCTAATTGGTTTCGAACGGTAAGAAGCTACAAACGAATGAAAAACTGAAACGCTGGTTAACAAACCCAAACAGGAACTTCAACGAGACTAATGAACCAAGGTCAGCTCTAACATAAAAAACAAGACCACCTATGAAAAACTTACATCTGACAATGACAAGCAAAGAATATTCCTAAAAGGACATTAGGTAAATTCGCGAGCTAAGCATAAATTCAAGTACAAGTAAAAACAAAAGATCAAAACAGGAAAATCTCTATGTGGACAAAATCAAGACTAAACTGATGAAACAAATCTTAAAATAACTTTCAAATACCTCACAACAATAAGGTGAGGCTGCATCTTGAACGAATTACGTGAACTATTAAATAAAGGTGTATTAAGCATTCTTCTTAGATCCTCTTGTACACCGTACTTTCAATGTTCCTTTGGTTATTTCCATAGTTAGCAATCGCCAGATAAGTATGACCCTTGTATTCAAATGACGTCATATCAATGGCTCCAAAGGTTGAAAGCTCTTGATATTTTGTGAACTGGCCTAGGGCGGAGAACCGATACAACACTGTCTTTGTTCTGTATTGATCAGCCACGCCCAGAAAAGTTTGACCGCACATGACAAAGGGATGCAGGGCCCTGGCCCCAGAAGTAAGGATAGTCTTAAATTTGACAAACTGACTTCCATTCCACTTGTTAATGTATGACTCTGGCTGAGAGGCAATGGCGAGAAACACGTCATAATTAATGTAAAAGGACTTTACATCCATTGTTCTGTGCTTTTGAAGGTTTTGCAGTTTGACGAAGTGCATCCCTGCCCTCTTATAAACTACCGACGATGTCGACCTGATTTCGTTTGCAAAGGCAATGTAGCTTTCATTGTAAATTACAAACGCTGTACTTGCACGACATCTCCTTGTCGCTATCTCCTGAAACTTTTCAAACGTGTTGTTTTTCCACTCGTAGATGACTGAGTTGGCAGAATAGTCGAGATTAGATACGGCAAGAAAGGGCTCTTTCGCTGTGGTAAAAAAAAAAAATTAAACTGGCTCCGCCTTTCGTTGCAATGTTTTGAAAAGCAAAAAAAAAATGTTCTATTTCAAAGATAAATAACTGAGTTTAGTCTGTCCGTAGTTCCATCATTATCATTAGCAACAGCAAGATAATGTTCGCCAGAAATTGTAAAATATTCCACGTCATGCCCTCCATGTGTGCCTATGGTCTGGTAAAGAAATAATTTTCCAGTCAAATCGTTGAACTTGTAGATAAAAGAATCTGTGTTGTATTTTTCGGCGGTGTCACTTTTATAGTTGGCGAACGCTAGAAAAAGACTTCCATTAATGGTGAAATGTTCCACGGCGACAGCTCCTCTGGTTGGTAAATCTTGGTATTTTTCAAAGTAATAACTGGAACGATCTGGATAGGAAAACGAAAACATAAAATTTACGAGTACTCGAAATACCTACGCCACAAAAATTGATGAAAAAAGTAGACAGAAAAAAAAGGAAAAGAAATACTTAATTCCGCGAATTTGGCAAATTGAAGATAGTTTTTCGCAGGGTTTTATTTTCGCGATCTCAAATTAACTGATTTTATTTTTCAAAAAGTCTGAACTTTTTACAATTTCTAGATAAATTGGTACAAGCAATGTGTGAACTCTTTGCAATTAACGTTATTTGGAACTTACCAGTACCACTAATCAACAATTTGTGAAGTTGTTGAACATAATGTATATGTTGTTGCTAAATTGTTAATATAAACAATAAACAACAAACAGCTCATAAGGTGCGGTTACACACACTTTTGTAAAAGGCATTTCTCCCGATAGAGAAAGCCGTAGTATTAATTTAATCCCTTGGCAAAGGATCGGGTCATTTCGGATTAAAAAAAAAAAAAAGTGAATGGAACTATAACGTCCGTATCTCAAGGACTGTTGTAACCCAATAGCCTCATTACTACTAGGGATCATTTTTCATGCATTGCTACGTAGACTTTCTGTTATTTTGAATACTGTGGCGATCAAATGAAGACGTCGTTTGACGAAACTAGTTTTGTGAACTGCTATATAAATTTAATAGTGTCTTGAAAGTGGAAACAAATCAGTTTTTTTTTTCCTTTTGTTTACTGAAATAATGTTAAGTAACACTCAGTCTTAGTTTCGGCAAACAATATTTCACAGAATTGATCCGAGTTTGTTCTCAGTTTAATTAAGTGATTAAGTTGGCAAATAACGGATTCAGGAAGGACAGATTCTCACCCCTCCCGGCAGACTAACATTTTGGGGCACTGAAAATCCACTGTCAATTTCAGTATTCACCTATTACTCTTTCCAGATAAAACTTTCCTCTTTTCCTGGGAAATTAGCCAGCCTAAATTCAATAGGGAAGAAAGACAATAAAGTCGGCAACAAAACTTAGGAAGAGAACAAGAAAGAAGGATCGAAATAGATTTGCCGTAAAAGGTCTAAGTTTTGGCTCAAGCGCATGAAAAGTACTAAAAAACAAAAACGAAAATTAATATTTATTTTTTTGTAAGCTTGCGAGCAGGCGGAATCCTCTGAATCCTGCAATTTGATTAGTTCCGAGATAGGGCGGTTTTTTTGTGCAGGCTAGGTTACTAGCCTGCACTATTTCTATCGGAAATGTCAGTCCGTAACCGTAACCACATCACGTGATATATTGTAGCCAATTGGAATCAAGATCGCCATGTGCTTTCAACAGGTTCTTATTGTCTCCTGGTTCTTCGTAATCGGTACGTAAATTGTCCTTTTTACGCAATGTTATATAGTGTGTTATTTTATAGTACCTTGGCATAAGCCGTTTTGTTACCGTTAAAGCACTGAAATTCGTGTATTAGTCTTTTGTTACATCTACCAAGAAAAATTGTATTGTGAAAATTCTCTACATCATTCCGTTGAATCAACAAATCGTTATGTTTTTCCCGGGGGGGGGGGGGGTACTCCCTTATATACGCCATATAGGTATGTGCCGCCCCATTGGGTGGGGTTTTTGCGCCGTTTTGGTCTGAAAACGGGTTGACACTTTGCCCATTCTGGGGTCTGGAATCGGGTTGGGTTTTCGAGGGAACTACGGGAGTATATGAACATTTTTATCGTTTTAATTCCAAATGAGTAAGAAAGAAAGAGAATTATGCGAATTCCAAATAGAGTTGAATGATTTTTGTGTTTGCGCCCTAATCTAAGTAATGATAACATAATTTCTGCCTAAAGGCCAGGTC